AAATGTGACGTGGAACTAAAAAGATTTGAAGAGTTATGGTCACAGATCAACAACAGGGACAGTCCGTGTAGGAAGAGTGTCTCATGAATATTCGTCAGCATGATAGGGAGTAGTCATTGCAGTTATAATGTTTAGTGATCACCAGGCTGAAACAAATCAGTGGTATAATACTGTGAAAATTAGAAAAAAAAACTTCTAATCAGGGCAATGGACGGTTTTTACATTACTACAGGGCTACAGTAAGTACTGATACAGTGTACAATATCTTGATATTCAGTCATATAAAGTACAATACAGTGTACAAGATATCAGTAGTAGGTCTACAGTAAGTACTGATACAGCGTACAAGATCTCAGTACTAGGGCTACAATAAGTACTAGGTCTACAGTTAATATTAATACATTGTACAAGATCTCAGTTGCATTAAGGAAGCTCTTTACACTAATAGTTTTTGGATTGGGAAAAATATAGCATATAAAGAAATGCCTATTGAGACTTTTTCATTCATTCAGAACATAGGGTACATGCATTATTTGCACAGGAAAATTGTTCAAAAACAATGGACTATTTGTGAGCAGAAATTATTGTTGTTTACATACATTGGGAAAATTAATGAAAATGATTAATTAAATTTCTTACTCACGGTCTTATATTAAGCTAAAAATATTTTAATCTATCATATGAAATTAATGGTAAATAACAATTTCTTTAATGTTACATCTAAGGGCAGATCACTATGGTAGCCCAGTCAGTAGTACAACTAAATTATCATACATGTATGAGTAATTACTATAATTTGATTGCAGCCCGGAGGACCGGGCTGCTCTATACATATAAGTTTAAGTGTTGGTTATGGGGATTGAAAGTGGGGAGAAGTTTTTCAGAATTAAAGGTTTTCTAAACATTAAAAATATTGTTAATTAGAATGTTCTTTCCCCTTATAAATTTCGAGAGACATAATATATTTTCTTCCATTAAGTAAATCTGGAAAAATTTATACGTTTTTCAAATTTAAAAAAAAATAAAGTTGCTTTTCATTTATTTACTAACAAAAAACGACTTTCCTTTTTTTTGAACATTGAATTTTACTAATCGCATAAAAACGTGAAATCCGTTTTTGAATAAAGTTGATGTAAGTGTATGGTTTCAATTAATATTTTATGCATCCAATTAACATTTACTTGAGGAATTGATAAAATTTAAATGGGTATTTTTTGTTACATTTTCACCCGACTCTAAGTTTTCAAAATATTCTTGAATATCGTCTCCATTTTTCACACATATTAAAGCGGTTTGATGATCAAGACTCATTTCATGTTTACTTTATTTATTACCCGAGTGACAATTGATGGTTACATAAATATTTTCTTATTTCAGTACCATATGTTCGCCAAGTCAGATCCAACACTATTTTCATGAATACATTTATAATTTTATCAACTGTGATATATGATATGATTTCAGTATGGTAGCCCTGTCAGTACCATCAGTAACTTAATAAATGTATTACCTGTGGTATGATTTTAGTATGGAAGCCCAGTCAGGACCATCAGTAACTTCATCATTATAAGGGTATTGACTTTGATATGATTTCAGTATGGTAGCCCAGTCAGTACCATCAGTAACTTTATCATTATAAGTGTATTAACTGTGATATGATTTCAGTATGGAAGCCCAGTCAGTACCATCAGTAACTTTATCATTATAAGTGTATTAACCGTGATATGATTTCAGTATGGAGCCCAGTTAGTACCATCAGTAACTTAATCATTATAAGTGTATTAACTGTGATATGATTTAAGTATGGAAGCCCAGTCAGTAATATCAGTAACTTTATCATTATGTGTATTAACTGTGATATGATTTAAGTATGGAAGCCCAGTTAGTACCATCAGTAACTTTATCATTATGTGTATTAACTGTGATATGATTTCAGTATGGAAGCCCAGTCAGTACCATCAGTAACTTTTTAAGTGTATTAACTGTGATATGATTTCAGTATGGAAGCCCAGTCAGTACCATCAGTAACTTTATCATTATAAGTGTATTAACTGTGATATGATTTAAGTATGGAAGCCCAGTCAGTACCATCAGTAACTTTATCATTATAAGTGTATTAACTGTGATATGATTTCAGTATAGAAGCCCAGTCAGTACAATAAGTAACTTTATCATTATAAGTGTTTTAACTGTGATATGATTTCAGTATGGTAGCCCAGTCAGTACCATCAGTAACTTTTTAAGTGTATTAACTGTGATATGATTTCAGTATGGTAGTCCAGTCAGTACCATCAGTAACTTCAGTGCAGGGTCAGCCTTGGACGACTTTAAGGAGGATCCGTTTAAGAGTAAGGACGTGCCTGGGGATGACACGGGTTGAGGAGGATCTGACCCATTTAAAGAAGGTACATTTATTTATACACTAAAGATGATCCATATAAGGAAGGGACATTTACCTGTACACTTAAATCAGCCATTTAAAGCCATAAAGTGTCAGGGGGCGCCTTGACCAAAATCAGGGGACGCTTTGACCAAAATCGGGGACGTTTTGACCATTGCTTGGGGACAGTTCCCAGACGATTTTTCTTTAGAAAAAAATTAAAGGGGGCTCTTTGACTAAAATCAGAAAACGCTTGCACCAAAATCAGGGGACGCTTTGACAAATATTTGGGGCAGGTTTTGTAACATCATTTTACACTAAATTCTATAGGGGCGCTTTGACCAAAATCAGGGAGCATTTTGACCAAAATCGGGGGACGCTTTGACCAGGACGGTTTTATTAGGGGGCGCTTTGACCAGATTTCATACAAATTCTTTATCCCTGTGTTTTAGGTGGTGATCCTTTCAAGTCATCATTTCATTCCGATCCCTTCTCCTCTGATGATCTGTTTAAATCCTCCAACACCTTCGAGAGTTTCTCCAAGTCTGGAAAGGTCAGCACTCTCGCTTTATCGTAAACTTCAATATACATGCATTTGAAGATTTATGTTGTCTTTATGTGTTATAGTTGTACTATCATTTTCTTAATTGACAGGAATTTTATTCAGGAGAACATTTCAAATATCAATCAAATCGGTTGTGAGTGTCCTCAGTAATTTCAGTGTATTACTAATGATTAGGAAGAAAAGATAAATATTTAATTAAGCCAAGTTAACTGCATCTTTATAAATTCATTTTTTTTTTAAAAAGGGGGGGGGGGGGGTGACAAAAAGTTATTGATAAGATTTATATGAAGTGCCATCATTGAAATTTTGACATAAATTATTTGTTTTGTAGGAAGATCCACTTAATAGCGCGGACCTGTTTGAATCATTTGGAGGAACAAATAGTTCCAAACTAGATGCTTTTGATCCTTTTGGGAAAGGAGGATCCAACACAAAACCAAGTGTAAGAAACAGAGCTTAATTAACATAGTTACTTCTGTAATTAACATATCTGTTTTCTTAGCAAATCAATAAAAAACAAAGGATATTATTCGAAATAAATAATTTTGTAAAGTGCCGATGAAAACATTTTTGTAGGATGAGTTATGGCACCTTTGTTTCTTTATAGAAACATGACAATCTATTTGGTGGTGACCCTTTTTCACCAAAATCCCCTTCTCGACCTTCTCTGGGACCCAAGTCACCAGCCCCAGCTTTGCTCCCCAAACAGAAGAAACAGCCTTCCCCGAGACCCGCCCCTCCCAAAAACAGACCCACCCCCAGCCACAGTTGGGGGGATTTGACAGTGACCCATTTGCAGGTATGATTTGTTTGGACATAAAGCTTTGACTTTGTAGTGATATTTGTAATAGTACCTGAATCATTAAGTTGCATGAATTAATAGTTTACAGAGTGAATAGATCCATGTCATCTTGTTTAGGCTATCACTTTGTTTTGAAGAAACTTAAGGTGGCTCATTACATCCACAGTTTATTTTAGATTTCAATACAGCACCACTTATAATGTAGATGTCAAATATCCAGATGGGGGTATTGATATCATAAATATTTTTTATAGAATTTTTTAGTTTTTGTTTTATTTTAGTGAAATGTTTATTTCAGGTTTATTATTCACAGAATTTCAGAACTTTCAGTGCCAAATGATGGGCATCTTCTTAAGACAAGTACACACAGTGAAAATACCTCATAATACGTAATAATAATTTTATTAGAAAAAATAATTTTCTCCTAGAAAACAATAAATGTCATTATCTATTTAATCTATGCACAAAACATTTTAAAAATGTGTTCTGAAGAGACAAGGAATGTATTTTAATGAATTACATGTGCCAAATTGAATGAAAAAAGTTTAAACGAAATGAAAAATCCATTTAAAAAAATATTTGGTATAAAACGTACACTTTCAAGAGTTATCTTTCCTAAATTGCCAAGACTCAAAACACTATGGAACGTTTGACATTACATCTAAAATTCAGAATAAAGCGTTAAATTGCCAGAGTATACATTTAAAACAAATATATGAATTAACACCAACACAGTAAATAGCGCAATTAAATAAAATTTTAATTTCAACAAGGTTGTAGATTTTAACTCACTCAAAGAGTTTACTGCGTGCATGGCTATGAAATTGACATTACTTGTTTGGCGAAGATTTGACCGTTGCTTTCTTTTGTTTCTGCCTATAAGCAATTCTTCTTGGTTTATGCATAATGAATCCGTTACTTTGTTTTCACTCTTTACAACACCGTGAACACCGCATGTTTTATCTATTTTTAAAGCGTTTTAAAGGTCAGGGTCATATTATAGAGGTATCTATATAACTCGTCCCCTGAGCAAACCGGTCGACACAATGGAGGTTTATTTTTTTGTGTAGTACGTCATCAAAAAGTGGTGTAATGAGCCTCCTTAAAGTGAATAATACATTGAGTGACGATATAATCCTCAGGTTTTACATTAGTATTGAGTTGTCTCAAGAAATCACAATGATTTTATTTAAAAGAGTTATTTTAACCCTGATCCAAGATACAAATTCTGTTAGGATTTCAGATAAATCTCTTAATGCGACTTTCTCCAGCTCCACAGGAAGTAATGCTGCTGCCTCAGATGATGCTTTTGCCAACTTTGCAGACTTTAGTCCAAGCAAGGTATTCAACAGATTTATATATTATTCTTTAAAAGAAAACTAAAAAAAAATGTAAATTTTTCATTCACCTGATAAAAAATTCCTATAACAATTATTTTTTACGTCTGCCCTGGTAATTTTTTTTGTCTGATCTGGTTGCAGTTTGATGATAAAGGAGCCTGGAGTTGAGAAGTCAAAACTTGATGTTTACATGAGGGACCATGAGATTGGGGTTTGGGCAATGGAGGGGTGTTCACTCTTAGGGGTGTGGTTTTGAGTGCTAGATGATTATTTCTTCCTGTGACGTCACAACAAACCTTCACAACTGTTGTAGAGTTCTCTCATTGATTTGTTATCAAATATAAACTGCTGATGGATGTTCTGTTAACACAAGGACGGCTATTATCAACTTAAGACATGATTTAGTTCCCACAGTATAGATAACCAGAGGAGAAAACATGAGGAGATATATGAGTTACATTCCTTGATGTTTTTTGTGAAGATGTCAGTCACTGTTGTATAATAAAGCAACAAAAACCTTGTAAAGTGCAATACTCTAGTGATATGTTAGAACTATTATTGTATTTATTTTTAGAAAAAGAATGTAAGCTAGTTTAACTTAGGTTTGGTTTGGTGTGTGATGAAATTTTCTGATTTTACACCAGTCACAGATACATTACAAACTCATCACACTTGTGCAATCATAGTTTTATCTCGAAGGTTTTTAGTTTTACATGTATGTGTAGTTATTAATATATAATATTATGAAATCTTGTCAATAAAATGTGCCAATCATTTTAAGAAGTCTTCATCAATTTTTAGCTCATCTGAGCCGAAGGCTCAAGTGAGCTTTTCTGATCACATTTTGTCCGGAGTCTGTCTAGCTCTCCGTCTGTCTGTAAACTTTTCACATTTTCGACTTCTTCTCAAAAACCACTGGGCCAATTTCAACCAAACTTGCCACAAAGCATCCTTTGGTGAATGGAATTCAAGTTTGTGCAAATAAAGGGCCACACCCTCATTCAAGGGGAGATAATTGAAAATTAATGAAAATTTGGTGGTACATGTATGTTTAAAAAATCTTCTTTTCAAGAACCACTGTGCCAGGAAAGATGAAACTTATGGGGAAACATCCTCAGGTAGTGTAGATTTAGTTTGTTCAAATCTTGTCCCCTGGGGGTAGGGCGGGGCCACAATGGCCGACCAAAGTTTTATATAGAAATATATAGGAAAATTCTTTAAAAATCTTCTCAAGAACAGCAAAGCCATAATTTCTCATATTTATATCGAAACATCCCAAGGTAGTGTAGATTAAAGTTTGTTCAAATCATGACCCCTTGGGGTAGGGCGGGGCCACAATGGCGGACCAAAGTTTTATTGTTATTAAGTACAGAGAGGAAGCTTAGAATGAAATAAAAAGATAACAAATAGTGATCAAATTGATCAATGCTGTAAACTATACAAAGATAATAAATAGTGATCTGTGACATCAATCCTGTAAACTATACAAATAACAAATACTGATCTCTGACATCAATCCTGTAAACTATATAAATCAAAGATAACAACTATAATTCTCTGCTATCATCTGGTCCCTAATTATTTTATAATGTCTCCGCTATCAGCTGACCACTAATTATTGTATGAAACATATGGATTCAAGATCAAAAGTTCATAAAACAATAAAGAATAGGAGCAGAATAAACATGAACCTTGAAAACATAAGAGATGGAAACAGGTGCCATAGAGGAGTGAGCATTCCCTGCTGACCGGTCACACCCGTCGCGTCCTCCTTGTCATGACCAAGAAATAACGGGAAAATCCGCCGTTAATTCAGTATATAAATAATGGACTAACAATAAAAAAGGTCTATGAAATTTTATTCTATGATTGTCTTCGCTACAAGGTTTGTATCGATTTCATATAACTTACAAAATGATGACTTTAAACGAGACTGGTCATAATCTCCTTTGATCAATTTGTTTATCAATAATTTAAAGTTGTCATGTTTATCATAGAAATTTGATTGTTAAATTCCATTCAAAATGCTCCTACAGTTTTCAGCTGATTTCAATATAACTCGGCAAACATCCCTTTACTCTCAGCTGACATAATTGATATATAATTTTTTATTATCAGCTCTCCCCGTAATTATTGTATAATTTCCTGTGAAAATCTTTACAATTAATTTATAACTCCTTTACTATCAGTTTTGGTCCCTGATTTCAATTAATCTGCCATCTAGCTGGCCCCTAATTATTGTATAATGCATTCACTATCAGCTGTTTTTGATTATTATATAATTCCTTTAGTGGTTACTAAAAATAGAAATTTTTATGAAATTCTTTCAAAATGCTATCAGCTCCTACAATTATTGTATGATTTCCTAACTTGCTATCAGCTGACTACTAATTATTGTATATTTCCTCTGCTATCAGCTGACCACTAATTATTGTATAATTCCTTTTATTTCATCTGACTACTAATTTATGTATAATTCCTTTACTATCAGCTGTCCTCCTATAGTTTATTGATTTAGTTTCTTGGCACATCAGCTGACTACAATTAATGTATAATTCCTATGCTATCAGTTTTTCCCTTCAATTATTGTATAATGCAATCACTAAAAATAGAAATTTCTGTATAATGCAATCACTAACAGCTGGCCCCTACATTATTAGTCTTATTATAATGTAAATTCCTTTGCTATCAGAACATGACTCCTAATTATTATATAATTCCTTTAAAGTTTCAGTTTCAATTTCCAACTGCAATCATGTATTTTCTCTTCCTTTTTAAAAGTAAATTCAATTTAATACCAAATCCCTTTTATTTAATACTTGCTAGAATATCTTAAAATAGGAAAAGTTATAATCTTTTTAAAATATATGGCCGACTCATAATTACTTACGCTATTTTTTTTTTTTAGAAACTTGTACCACGCTATAAAGTGCTTGCGGGGAAAAGGTAAATTAACTTTTCCTATGAAGTGAACATTTAATGTATGTTGCATCACCTATTATCACAGGTAATTAGCTTGTAGCATAAACTGGGTTCAGTAAACAATGTTGAATGGGTAAAAAAAAATAGCGCAGCATTTCATTTCCGGAAATATGCATAGCATTTCTGACATTTTTATTATTTCATTTCCGACATTTTTTGTTTTCATTTCCGGAATTGACCTGTTCGGCAATTCAATATTTTCTTAAGTAAAAGAAATGGAATTTTAAAAACAATTTTACCAAAATATTAATAAAAAAATCTATACATAAATGCATACATGTATTACTAAGTCTAGGTAAAAGATTTAATGAGCATAAAACATTTTGATCACATTTAATGTTCACTGACATTAAATATCAGTGACAGCACCATACATATACTTGTGTCCAAGATACTGATAGATTTACCAAATTTGATTTCAATGATTTATTTACGATTTTTCTTTTAAATTTTTCAAAAGTAAAGTTATCAAATATGTACTCCATATCTATTTGAGAAATGAAAACTAAAAGATGTCGGAAATGAAAACTAAAAAAAATGTCGGAAATGAATAATTGATAATTACTAAAAATTCCAGAAATGGAATGAGGAAAAATGGTTCACATTTTTATGGTTGATTTATTCTGACGAAAAATACGTTTGCGAATGCAATGGACGTGCAAATTTCCTTAAGAATTTTCTACAGCAAAAAGTGTCCAGCTTTACGACATCTCAGCTTTTATTTTATTTTTATGCCACAGGATTGAAAGATCACAGGAGTATATTGCTTTTGTCCTGTCTGTAACAAACAACAAACTTTAAAAAACTCAAAAAACTTAATTTACAAGTCTTGATAGGGAATTCTTTACAGTGGTGTACATTGTGAGTTGTGATTGATTTTTTTTTTTAAAAAAATCCCATTTCTTTTGATAAAAGCAATTAAAATCTCAATATCATACTAAAAATGAGAATTTCTTAAATAAAATTTCAAGGGAGAGAGGGGGTGAGAGTTTCTTTCTCTCTCTTACTCCTTTTGAAGAAAAGTACTGAATTGCCGAACTCTGAGAGGTAACAATCATGATATATTACTATTGATGTCTGTATATGCTTTGCATGATTTCCTGTATTCTCATCAATGTAGCAGTTTGTATGTAGCTTGATGTATGTCTAAGAGTTTATTAGTGGGATTTCAGAGCGGCTTGATGGTTCCCTGTCATCTGTACATGTCTGCTACAGATTTGCTTCCTAGAATCTGCTAGAATATGGCTCTTTTGTGTATCTGTATTTGCTTCCTCTTATTGTGGTGGACCAAAATGGTCCTGGAAGTCATTAAGAGATAGTTGTGCTCTCAGTGGGTCTACATGTCTGTAACAGAACATAGAGTGGGATACCTATTATTAAAAAGTGTACAAAATTCACTTCTTAGTTGTTTATATAGTACAAATAAAAAATGATGTTCCAGACCGTAACACAGACTGTTGTTCTAACACTATTTCATTTATGTAACAGACTGTGCAAAACCCTCAAAATGTGAACTATAGCACATATTCGAGACTTTGAACCAATAACTTCATCAAGTATAGTTTGTATACTTTTGGTTTTTCCACTTCCTGTTTTTCCTCCATGGAGGAAACTTACAAGTTTTTTAAATCTAACAAGAAGTTGAGAGCTATGTCTTTCAAGATGAAATTTTGAATTTTTTCAAATGAAGCACCACTTATCCAGATTTCAGAAAGAAAATGAAGCAGGTTAGATCTTTCTTTGGTTTGATTGGCTATTAAATTCTCGAAAAATTTACCATTATTTTTTAGTATTTATATTCCAACAAAATCATAACATGTTTTACAACTGCTCCTTTAACTGACTTAACCATTGTTGTAGATCTAGAAAACTTTTCCACTATTGTATTCCAAACAAATTTGCATGGAAACAAGAACACGATAATTCATTTAAGAGGTTAAAATCCATGTTGCTCTACAGTCCAATTCTCAGATTACTAGATTTGTCGAAGCCATTCATCTTAAAAACCAAAGCATCTAATCATGGAGTTGGTACCGTGTTGATGTAGAAGAATGACGGACGCACATACCCTGTTGCATATGCAAGCCTGAAGCTGCTAGACAGAGAACAATGATATTCGCTTGTGGAATAGAAGTGTCTTGCAGCCGTAGGGGCCATACAGAAATTCCTGTCTTACTTTCATGGAAGAGCGTTTGATTTGGAGACAGATCATAGACCCCTAATGCATTTACAAAAAACTAAAGCTTCAAACAGCAGATTGATGAGATGGCCTCTTTTTCTACAAGTGTTCAACTTTAGAACTGAGTGATTAGATGAGTACATAATATTGGAGCTAATTTTCTCAGTCATGTTGTTGCTGACTAAGTTAGTGTTAAAAAGACCTTGTTTTCCATTTTTGTCACAAAATTGCATTTTGCAAGAGCACAGAGACAGATTTATATGTTATTTTCTTAAATATTAGTGGGATTGTTGTTCAAATTCGTATTCGGGGAGACTGTTTAATTTCTGGAGGAGTCTAGAAAGCAATTTTTTTGCAAAAAATATCGAAAGGTTTATTATAGGAAGGACCTAAAATCAGGAATCCACTACAATGTACATTAAATTTCTTCATGACAGCGTCCAAACTCGCACGGCCCGAAGAGTAAAGGGGTTTTCGTGCTAAACAGAAAGTTAATATATTTTTATCATTAACAATATTCACCAAATTTTTTACCTTTTGACTTGTTTCTATTTCTAAACTTGAAAAAACACCTTTCAGAAGTAAGAAACAAGTCCATGAAATCATTTTAAATCATCTGCCA